ATATGGGTTTCAAAAGGGAGTTGGGAGTCCATTTTTACACCAAGATTACAAACTGTTGATGAGAGTGAGATGTTAGTACTAGAAAAGGTGATGCTGGTTATAATTGATGATATGGTTTGATGAGGAGTTCCAACCAGGATGGCTTTGGTTTTGGAGCTATTGAGTTGAAAAAAGTTTTGCTCCATCCATACCTTTATCTCCTACAGACAGGTGGTGAGTTTTGATGGGGATGATCGTGAGGGTTTGGGTGTCATCTGTGACATTTACATAGAGCTTTATGTCATCAGTGTAGCAGTGGAATGAGATATTGTGGCGGCTGATTATTTGCCAAAGGGGGTAAGGTAAAAGATGAAGAGGATGGGACCAAGGACTGGCCCCTGGGGGACACCATGGTTAACTGTGTGTGGATTTGATTTGGAGTGGCCTAGGGAGATGTATTCTGTCTGGTTTGTGAGATATGATCTGAACCAACTCAACTCAGTGTAATTTAGTTCAGTAGTGAGGTGGAGCCGGTTTAAGAGAATGCCATGGTCGACAGTATAAAATGAAGCAGAAAGGTCAAGGAGGATGAGGAGGGATAAATAGCCAGCATCAGATGATATGTGGAGGTCTTTTTGCGTCTAAATAGGGCTGTCTCTGTGGTGTGTGCAGAGGGGAAACCTGACTGTTTTTTTTTAAAACACGTTATTATATTTGAGGTGGTCCTGAAGGTGAGTGGCAACTGCTTTCTCAAGTACTTTTGATATGAAAGGGAGAGTTGAGATAGGCCTGTAGTTGGATAGGAAATGCGGATCAAGAGTGGGTTTTCTTTTTAAGCAATGGTGTGATAATGGCATTTTGTAAGACAGGGAGAACATGACTAGATTAAAGGGACATCTTTGATCTTGAACACACTTAAACTACCCATCAGCGTCTGGAGGTGAGCTTGACGATCACTAGTCGGTTATATCTCCCCCTCCTACACAAGTGTAGGCTGAATGATATAACAATCCTGAATTCCAGTTTAAGTATCAGGTCGCATTTGCTTCTGCCTTGAATGCTGCCTTATCCTCTTTACACCCTCATGGTTCCTCCAGCAGGAGGTGGAAACAAAATAACTGAACTACCACCCACTTGACAACAAACCACAATCCCAGGTTTTAGTTCAAGGGTGGTACCTGGCTCTGCTGTAGTTTGACTTGCCTTGATCTTTTAATCATCAACTTTTCAGGGCTCCAAATTGATTTTGCATGATCTGATGATGATTTTCCCCCAGTGTTCTGATGGCAAGGGCTCAAGATCGATGCTGATATCCTATCAAATGAAAGAATTCTTTAGTCTATTTCTAAAAGAAACAACAGCACAGGGGCTGATATCCAGAGTTTGTACCACATATCTGAAAAATGCTAACATCTACTTCCAGCTATCACGAACAATAAGGGAAAACCTCTAAGAAGGCTTGAGGCATATCCTGCTGGGGATTCCCAGTGACAGCACACTGTGTGCGTTGGTATTTGGGGGTCTGGGCGGCTTTGATACCGAAATAATAAGGCAGGATTGTAATCTTGATGAACTGTTGCACAGACGATGTTTTGAGGTGGACTTTCTAGCAAAAAAATATATTAAAACTACTTTTTACCAGCTTATCACAGCAAATATAGCAAAGCCACTCTCTGCCATTGAATGCAGGAGCAGCAGAAGCATAGCAGCATCTATACACACTTTACAGGAATCGCTCCAGGAGCATCAAAGATGCTCTTGAGGCGCGTCAGACCTTAAA